CTTCCTTTGTGTTTGTCCTCTGCTGGACATGACCATTCAGTTTTAGATACTTGATGGAAAGCAATTATATTGACCTGAAATACCCCTAGTTTTCCTGAGCTTACTCATGTCTGATCTTTCACTGTTCCCAAAGCCTCTGCCAGGTGTCCATTTATTCGTCAGATGAGTATCAAGGGCTCATTGTGTGCCAGGCTAAAGTGCTAGGGATACATGGGGATTTGACCTAGGTCCTATCCTCAGGGAGCCCACCTTCTGATGGGGAGGAGAAAACATACCTGGACAGAGATAAAAGTAATGTCACTACTGCTTCTCTGTCCTAGGAAGACAAGTACATTGGGCAAGTAGAGAAAATGAAGGCAATAAAGCCAATCCGAAAGTCCTCTCAGCGGAGGAGACCTTTGAGCTAAGACCTGAGTGGATTAGCTCTGTGAATAGCTAAGGGAAGAATTGTTAGTCCGGAAAAGCAGTGTATGCAAAAGGCTATGCTAGAGACTGCTGAAGTTGTTGGAGGTTTTCAGGTGCCTAGAGCAGGGTGAGAGAGGGGGAGAGAGTATAGAGAAAGAGGTCAGAGGCTAGGCACTGGTGGCTCACGCCTATAATCCTAGCTACTCTGGAGGCTGAGATCTGAGGATCAGGGTTCAAAGCCATCTTGGGAAGGAATGTCTGTAAGACTCGGGTTTTTTTTTGTTTTTTGTTTTGTTTTGTTTTTTGCTTTTGTCATGGGCTTGAACTATGGGCTGCGGTGCTCTCCCTCAACTCTTCAACTCAAGGCAAGTAAGTGCTCTACCACTTGAGCCACAGTGCCACTTGCGGGTTTCTGGTGGTTTATTGGAGATAAGATGGCTTTTCCTGCCCAGGCTGGCTTTGAACTGCAATCCTCAGATCTCAGCCTCCTGAGTAGCTAGAATTACAGGTGTGAGCCACCGATGCCCGGCTCTGCAAGACTCATCTATAAACCACCAGAAAACCAGAAGTGGCACTGTGGCTCAAGTGGTAGAGCTAGCCTTGAGCTGAAGAGCTCAGGGACAGCACCAGGCCCAAAGTTCAAGCCCCATGACCGATGCAAAAACAAAACAAAACAAAAACCCTAAAAGAGGTCAGAGAGGTTGCCAGAGGCTCGATGATTTAGACCCTTGTAAATCTGGGTCAAGTATTTGGACTTGAACTTAAGGGAGATGGGAAGCCAGTGGAGGGGGAGTACAAGCAGAATAATGTAATGATTCCCCTTAAGCTTTAGAGAAATTGCCTTGACCTACATGTTGAGGAAAGACAGCAGGGACAAAGCCTGAACCAGAGAGTTACAGTCATACTCCAATGAGAGATGACAATGCTTGGAAACTCACTGGTGCACTGGCCTGCATTTACAGACTCTGACAGGAAGGAAAGCCTGTGCTGATTTCCACCATTGTGAGTTCTAGGCTTGCGGTGTCCTGCTACTGAATGTGCATGTCAGGGTTTACAAAGCCACCACCTAGACGCCATTCGTGTCCTGGGTGTTCTCAGTGTGTGGTGCTTCGAGGGTGTCCAGGCTTGTCTCCATGGGTAGGTTCTTTACTACCTGTTGGGAAAGAGACTGGAAGGATACGTGGAGAGGGAGAGAATTTTCTCAGTGTGTAAAGCCCATTGTATTGGAGTCTTACAAACATAAGCCCAGATACCCGAGACTTCACAGGAGCACTGGACTTTTAGGTCCTTTGAAAGTAGAGTTCAGTCCCAAACTTCCCTGCAAACAGGAAGCTGGTTTGAGTTAAGAACATAAAAAACAACTGATGCCCCCTGAATGTTTTTCCCTGCTCCTCCCCCTCCATAGAGCCAAAGGAAACTCCTTTTTTCCCCCTTGGATTGCTGCTTTAGAAAGCCAGAAAAAGCAAAAACCCATGCTTTGAAAATAAGCCAAGTTTTGAGCTCAGGCAAAACCTTTGCCTGTAGTGTTTTCCTAGTCAGGAAGCGTGTTCTGTGCGGGCCTAGGAGGACAGTGGCAGAAGAATACAAAGAACACAAAGGTGCCACAAGCAGAGCCAGTAATCCAAGCCTGGCAGGACCCAAGGGTCTGTAGCTGCCTTCCCAAACTAGACCTTCAGCTAGCTCGTCTACAGCCATAGGATCGATAAAGTGAGCCTTGACCAGAATTTTCTTTTAATGATATAGAATTCAAGAGCATCTTGAAGTATATAAAGTAAGAAAAGTACTATTTTAGGAAATGTTTCAGTTTGATGTACATATATGTACCCATGGGTCAATGGGTCATCGTTAAAAAAAAGTTATACAGCCAAGTGCCGGTGGCTCATGCCTGTAATGCCAGCTACTCAGGAGGCTGAGATCTGAGGATCAAGGTTCAAAGCAAGCCCAGGCAGGAAAAGCTATGAGTCTCTTATCTCCAATAAACCACTCAGAAAACTGGAAGTGGCGCTGTAGCTCAAGTGGCAGAGCGTTTGCCTTGAGCTGAAGAGCTGAGGGACAGTGCCCAGGCCCAGAGTTCAGGCCCCACGACCAACAAAAATAAAAAAAGTTACACACTAGCCAGGAGTCAGTGGCTCACGCCTATAATCCTAGCTACTTAGGAGGCTGAGATCTGAGGATCCTGGTTCAAAGCCAGCCCGGGCAGGAACATCCAGAAAACCAGAAGTGGCACTATGGCTCAAGTGGTAGAGCCCTTGTCTTGAGCTGAAGAGCTCAGGGACAGTGCCCAGGCCCAGAGTGCAAGACCCACAACTGACAAAAACAACAACAACTAAGCACTGAACCTTAAAGTCTGAGTAAATCACATCTTCCTGCTCTAGATTGCTGTTGGAAAATGCAGGCTAGCTTTACAATTCATTCTCAATAGCATTGGATCCTTTACCCACAAAACACCTACCTAGACTCCTTCAGAGGACATGACAGCTAAGAACCAGCAGTGTTGGTCTGGTTCTTTGGGATCAACACTGAAACATAGGGAGGTAAGGGATCCGTGAAAATGTGAACCCAAATGATTTGCCTTAGCCAGAACAGTGTGAAGAGAGTAGGAACTACAGTCTTTCAGCTCAGTGCATCTGGTTGGGTGACCTCTGCCATCCCTGTGGATTGTGCCAGCGAGGCGTTCTTTTTCCTTGTCTCTTCAATAAACAGTAGGTATGGTAGTAAAATCCTGAGTCCCTCTCCCTCTGGGATAATTAGAGACATGGAAGATGAATATCACCTCTAGACTTCCCAGGAGGATTTTGTGCTCTCCAGTCAGTGCCATGTGACTGTATGCCAGGCTTGTTGTGCTGAGACTCAAAGGTGGCAGGAGGCACAGGTCAGATCAGGCACTAAGGGTGTCTCTAGAGTGGTTTAACTCACATTAGTTGAGTGTCTTGGCTAAGCCAAGGGTAATTGGAAAATTTGGTGTTTGCTTCATGCTGTGAGTTGGTGCGCCGTGCCTAACCTGCTTCTACCTATGAGCAGACTCACCAGAATTCCTGGCTAGTAGCCCAAAAGACACCAAGACTCTTGGGGACCTTCTTAGGGGGTAGGCTCTGTTGTGTCATCTTGTGGGCATATTTTGACGTTTGGTTACCATAAGGCATTTCTCTCCAATCTAATTCAAACTAAAATGGCCCATGGACATAAGAATTTAAACCACTGCTCTATAAATGCACCCACTTCCCCCTTTGGGAAAATCAATTAGTATAATTATCTTAATTGGTTCCGGGCTTCCCTTTCTAGAAAACGGCCTGTGCTAGGAGATTTCATCCTGACACAAGTGTCGACATCACTTACTCATTTCTGACTCACATTGCTTTTTTTTTTGTCAGTCAAGGGGCTTGAACTCTGGGTCTGGGCGCTGTCCCTCAACTCTTCAGCTCAAGGTGAGCACTTCACCACTTGAGCCACAACGCCTTTTCTGGTTTTCTGGTGGTTTGTTGGAGATAAGAGTCTCATGGCCTTTTCCTGCCCGGGCTGGCTTTGAACTGCAATCCTCAGATCTCAGCCTCCTGAGTAGCTAGGCTTACAGGTGTGAGCCACCAGCGCCATCTCACATCGCCTTCTTAGGGCTGAGGATTCCCCAGAGACAAAGTTTTTTTTAGCAGATCACAGTCTGGCCTGTGTACTTGGCCATTCTACATTCAGAAGCTCTGTTCTCTGAGTCAAAGAAGAGCAAGGACCTCCCTGAGTATGGTGGGTACAGGAAGTGCAGATGACCAGCCAGGTGTGAGCAGAGCGTGAGGTGAAGTGACAAGCAGGGTACAGGACACTCCAGACCTCTCATGGGGTCACTGAGTGGAAAGACCCATGAACTAATTTGAAGTTAGTTCACTGTGGGTCATGTGGCTGCAGACTGTGGAGGGAAAATGCTGATTATGAGAGCGATGGCTCATATCTCAGAATCTCAGAGCACTTTGTGCTTTCATCTCTGTGGGAGTTGTGGCTTAATAATAATAATTAGAGTACTGTGAGCATCTATGATTTGCAAAACAGAGCATTAAGCTTTGTTTCTGCCTCTTAGGCTCTCAGTCTATGATCTGGCAGGCTCTGGGTGGTGGAGTCCTCTGATAGAGGGGAAAAGCATGCTGGAATGCAAAGGTCAGGAATACTATGAGTCGCCTAATTGATACCTAACATTCTTTTGGCTCCTGGTAGATCACAATGTCCTTTTCTTTGCAAAGACCCATGACCTCTCCTGAACTCATAGAGCCCCAGAGTCCTGTCTAGGCACCTAGTACTCCAGTGTAAACATGGTGCCTTTCCAGGTTGGAGGGATGCCTGCTCCTCTGTGGCCTGAGCTCTGCTTTAACCAGTTGATTATCTTTTCCATGGTCCCAGCAGACCGAGCCTGGTTAAATACAAGTGATGCACCTTACTGGCATTTTCCGTAAGATCAAGAGGCTGTGGCCCTAACAGCCTGAAGGAGTCGCAGCCCCCTCTCCTGAAGCTGAAGCATGGGGAAGCTAATGCTGCAGAGGATGCCCGGGTGTCTGCAGCACCTCACTTGCAAGCCGCGCTGTCTGTAATGATATTCCTCTGTCTTCCTCTCACAGGTGACCTTGGAGAAGGTTCTGGGAATCACCGTGTCTGGAGGCAGAGGACTTGCCTGTGACCCCCGATCAGGTTTAGTTGCCTACCCAGCTGGGTAAGTATTGAAGAACAGATCTTGTTGTGTGGGAGTTTCATAGCCATACCAGATCAGTCAGGGTGTGCATGGGGTTTCATGACATCTTCTGGAGCTCTCTCCGAGTTCATGTTTTGGTGCCAGGCTAGGTGAAGGCTCTTCATTATCTTTGTTATCATCCTATCCTGCTTTTTAGCCATCCCCTAGGACCTACCCACCTATACATACTCCATATTACAGAAACATCTTTAGCAACTATTTTATCTTCAGCAACTATTTTCTAATTGTTTTTAGAAACAGCTTTATCATGATGTGATTCTGTACATCTGAAATACCCAGTTCAGGGCTGTGTACCTAGCTCAGTGTTACTATGGTATTCTCAGGCCAGGATTTTGACCCCTAGCACCTTAGTAAACAAATACCCAATTCAATAGGTTTTAGTATTTTCACAGGGTGCCATCACCACAGTCAGTTTCAGAGCATTTTTAATGTCTTTTCCTAGAAGGAAACTGCATGTAGTAGGTACGGTGGTGTGTATGGGTAGTTCCGGCTGCTCTGATGTATGAAGACAGAGGATTGCTTGAGCCTAGGAGGTCAGCCCTGGGCAGCCTAGCAGTGACTGTCAGAAACAAAAATAAGAAAAAACCCAAAACTCTATATCCACTGACATCGTTCTCCAGCCCTCTTCCCTGGAACCCCAAGTCATAGGAAACACTTCCTCACGTTCCAGCTCCATAGATTTGTCTGTTCTGGGTATGTCATATAAATGGAATCCTAGAACATTTGGCTTTTTGTGCCCGGCTTCTTTCACTTAGCCTTATGTTTTCAAAGTTCCTTCATGTTGTAGCGTATGTCAGCACTCCATTCCTTTCTATGGCTGAATAATGCTCCATTTTGTAGATAAACTACATTGTATCTATTCTGTGGACATTTGGCTTCTTTCAACTTTTTAGCTGCTGTGGATAATGCCGATGTGATGGTGTCCCTGGCTTGAGTCACCTGGGAGGTGTCAGTTGTGATGTCCCGTGGAATAGGTGCTGGAGTTCTTGCCCTGCTGCCTTTCCATCCGCCAGCTGTAGCTTCTTACGTTTCCACAGAAGTGTACCTCCAGTAGCAGCTCCCTCTAGTTCTTCCTGGGAGCCTCTGTCTCTTGCTGGTGCAGGAACATGAAAATGAGAAGGGCCGCAGCTCTGCTTTCCTTGCCCAGCCACCAGCCTGGGGATGTCTACTTCCCTGGCATGATAGCCTAGCAACTTTTCAGTCTCACATTTTCTTAGTTTCACCTTCTCACTACCTTTATCGAGTACTTATTTCATGCCAGATGCTTTTAAAACACTTGACATGAGCTGTAGTACTCAGCGTAATCGTGTGAGGTTGGTCCTTTGCTGCCTCTATACATTGAGAAGTAAGTAGATTGAAGGAGGTGATGCAGCTTGTTCAAATTGGGATAACTGGCGTGAGTTCTGGGGTCTAGTCCTATAGCCTGGCTGCATACAGCATGGGGTAGGGAAGACCAGACTTTCCGGTTATTTTTCAAGCTGCTCTTCCTCTAAGCTGTTTACTTGCCATTCAAAGAAGAGCCTAGTTGATGGGCAGCTCCTTGTACCCAGGAGACTTCTGCCCCTGGCTTTGAAGATCCATGTCTCCCCTAAAGAGTCCTGTAGTGTCTGGTGTCAGTAGGTGGGGTGTTGTTGGAGATGCTGTGGCTGGGCCTGGCAGAGGCAAGTCTGGCCTCCCTCCTCCTCTCCTACAGGCCTGTGCTGTTGGATAACCCTTGCTGCCTGCCTCAGGGGAATTCCACTCGTTCCTGCCTCTGCTTGGAAAAGCCAGGTTCCTTCTTGTTGGAGGTGGGGCTGAGGCTAGACCTAGAGTGGGCAGGAAAGGCCTGGGGCGCTGCTCCGTGCATGTGCTTGCTGAGCTCTGCGTCCCCACCCTGGAGCCCAGTTGCCCCCCTCTTGTCCACATTCCCTGGGCCTCACGCTCAGAGCCTTTAAGAGCGGCATGTGCTTGATGTTTTGGGGCAGGTTCCAGCCCTGTGCAGGCACCTGGGTGTTCCAGTCCTCCAGGTCGTGTCTGGGACTTACCTGGTGTAGCCTCCAGAAAGTTTCCTGAATGTACTTCCTGGGCCAGCCCTGGACAGTACCCCTGGTCAGTTTGAATGCAGGCCTTTGGATTTCTTAGAACTTCAGTCTCTCTGCAAATGTCCTCTTTCTGGGTGTTTGAGTGGTGCTCTTGCTGAAGCTCCCTGATATGATTTTGGGGTATCTGAGGATCCCCACAGTCTACATGAATGAACCCAAACAGGTTCTTCCCACCCTCTCTTCCTATCTGCTAATCCTAATACACCCTCCACCCCCACTCTTGTTCCTGTTCCTCTCGCTGTGCTGGGAGCCAGCTCAGGTATCCTAGAAACAAGGAGAGAAACAAAACTCAGAAAATGCTCCCAGAGGCTTAGTAGCAAATATCAAACCAAAACAAAGTTTTCCGAGAGGAAACAAGACTGCACAGCGGGCCGAGCAGAGGTAGGCTGGGACTCCAGGCTGAGCGTTGTCTCTAGGCAGAGACCCCCTTGGTTTTAGTGGTCCCTGCTTCTCTTCTCCAGCGTTCTCCCTGTGCTCCCACTTTCCCAACAGGAAGCCCACCTCTCAACGGTCACATTTACATCCCTTTGCCACCCTAGTGTAACCATTTAATGAGTCCAAGTCAAAAAAAGAAGCTAGCGCATCAGATATGTTACTAGAAAGCTTAGAGCAGCTGAACAAACTCAGTCCTTGAGTCTGACAAGAGAAGAATTCAGGCAATAAGCAAAACGTAGCAAAGGTGAGAGGAAAGTTTATCAGAAAAGAAATATGGCAGAGAAAGAAAGCATGTGGCTTAGCCATGCCACAGGAAGACAGCGCTGAGCCATTCCTGACACTTGGGCCATCTTTCTTTTTTTTTTTTTTTGGTCGGTCGTGGGGCTTGAACTCTGGGCCTGGGAGCTGTCCCTCAGCTCTTCAGCTCTACCACTTGAGCCACAGCGCCACTTCGGTTTTCTGGTGGTTTATTGGAGATAGGAGTCTCATGGTCTCTCCTGCCCGGGCTGGCTTTGAACCATGATCCTCAGATCTCAGCCTCCTGAGTAGCTAAGATTACAGGCGTGAGCCACCAGCGCCCAGCGGGCCATCTTTCTTTTTACAGACTGTCCTTGGTTAATAGTAAGAATCAAGGGCTTTTTGATTGGTGGGCTTCTGTTTCCTGTAAGGTTGTGATGCCATAGATTTACAGTTATTTCCCAAGTCTTTTATCCTTACTTCCTTATTCTTTGTAGCCCCTGTCCCCATTTCTTATCAGGCAGGTTTTGATTTGTCAGCTTATCCTGCCATCTGCCAGCTGTGTAGGCTGCAATTTCCCACCAGCTTTTCTACTAACCCACAACACAGGGACGCCAAGTGGGTCCCAGGCAGCTTCTTGCAGCGCCTACTCTGATGGAGCACCCTTCAGTGAGCTGAGCTTTCCCTAGCTGGGAAAGCTGGCAGCCCTGCTGCCACTGTGGAGCCCGTCCAGTGCCAGAGTGAGCTGGTGAGTGCTCTGAGCCAAGTGCTCTGAGCTGCCTCAGGACCTCTGAGTGGGGAGCACCCTAGCAAGGAGACCAGGCTTCCCCAGCAGCCTCTTAGTTTGCTCTAAGTAGAGAGAAAGGGAAAACTCACTTTTTTTTTTTTTTTTTTTTTTTTAATTTTATTTTATTTTTTTATTGTAAAGCTACTATACAGAGGGTTACAGTTACATGAGTGAGGTTATGAGTACACTTCCTCTTGAACATTGTTACCCCCTCCATTGTTTTCCCCCTACCATCCCCTCCCTCCCTCCCTTCCCCGAGGTTCTTTTTTTTTTTTTTTTTTTTTGATTGTGATTAAATGATTACATAATTTCAAAGTCACAAGTTCATTCTAACTTCCCTGGAGCAAATTGTCTACCACAGTCTGTAATATATAACAGTGTTCACATGTTATATACCATATTTGTGATCAGCAGCATGAGGATATTTAGTAGTGGTTCAACCAGATGAGCGGGAGTTCTTTGTTTCTTAAGTCCTGTTAGTTTTGTCGTATCACTAACCTTTTGGATTTAGCATCCACTTATGAGGGAGACCATGTACCGTTTGTCTCTTCGTTCTTGGCTTACCTCGCTCAACATGATTCCTTCTAGCTCCATCCATTTCCCTGCAAATGCCATTATTTTGTCATTTCTAATGGCTGCATAATATTCCATTGTGTATAGATACCACAATTTTTGGATCCATTCATTTTGTGGTGGGGCACCTAGGTTGGGAAAACTCACTTTTGAGAAGGTCCTCTGTGTACTCAACCTAAGTTGGATTTTACACTGAGATTGTGCACTGAGCTCCACGCGGGGGCTCCCAGGATGCAGGCACAGGCACAGTCTTCTCCTGACGAGGTCTGGTGAGCTCTGACCTTCAGGAGCGCAGAGCGCCCCTTGCTCCATGAGACAAGCTGGATGGGCTGCCCATCAGAGTCCTTGGTGCCTTTCCTATGGCTTCCCGCGTCTCTCACACACACTGCAGGGCCCTCCATCTTCCATAACAGTCAGCTCATGACACATGCGTTCCTCTTGTCCAGAAGAGTGGTGAGTAAGCCCGGCAGGGTCACTGCTTCCACAGGCTTAGGCTGCAGGCTGATAGAGCAAACTAGAAGCATGCGAACAAGGAAGGGAGCAAGGTGGTGTCAGAGAGTGGCAAGTATTGGGAAAAATAAAATGGTGATGGGACATAGAGTAAGTGAACAAGGGGGAGTATAGGGGGCTGCTATAAAATTCGGGGGTTCAGGACTCAGTGATGGGGGAACATTAGAACTAAACTTGAATGACATGGAGGAAGTGGCACGTGAGATTTCACACCAGAGTGTTCCAGATGGAGGAATTGTCAAGTGCAGAGGTCCCAAGGAAAGGAGGAATCACTTTATGTGTTGGAGCTACTGGTCAGCATACCAGAATGAGGGGGAGGAGGGTGCTCAGATCCTACC